ACATCAAATAAATAATGAACATGATTTTTATTTCGCCCCACCGGCACTTTTTTCTTATATGTACATTCGATTTTTTCCTTCCTTATGTAGGGACAATTTCACACATCTGTTCCTCAATTGAAGTGGAAAAATATAGAAAAAGTGGCCATTTTTTATACCGCGAATGCCGCGAGGTATGCAGCAAAATTTATGTGTTAAATCAGTTGATCTACCATTTATGCTGGGTTTAATTTTAATTGGTTTCCCTTCGCAGGCACAACAATTAAGAGAGTTATGCGTTTTAATTCGACCAACAGTTCGAGGAATATATCGGAAGAAATTACAGAGTTTTTCCGTACCAGATGAACTCGATCTTCCCTTAAATTGCTTTCCGCCTCGTATTTATAACCCTTTCAACTCTGTAGATTTATGTTCCATTTTAGGTGGCGCCACCTGCCGTCGCCTACCGCTGGCAATAAAATATATATACGCTTGCACCTATATATAAAGGCCAAACAATAAAAACACAACTTCATACACGACATAAATCACCTGGGTAGTTCAAGCATGGCTGAAATATTACTCAGTCGAGAAGTTAAATACAAACTGCCACCTCCTGGCGAAAAAAAAAATAAATAAATGGCATTGGGCGTGGTCAATTAGAGTAAAAGTTGGGTGTAAGTAATACCCAGATTGTGGGATAATAAGGGGATCACATTTGCGATTTATGTAACCAAAGAAATGTACGGTCTCTGAGATAAGTTATTTTATATTTTTTGTGGAATGAGGTCAGGCATTTCACTTCGGAACATTATATTATTTTTTTAAGCCCCCTTTTTTTCTCATATTGCATTTACCCAACATCCAACTAATAATAATGCCTGACCTCAAGGGAACCAGCACGATTCGCTCCGGTTTATGACAGGCACTCACACTTGTTCTTAAAAAAATGGAAAAATAGAAAATGTGTTATGTGGTTTTAGCTTTATTATGAACGCTGGCTTACCGCAAAATGGGATTATCTTGCATAAGTTTATTATTTAAATCCATATTTGCGTTGCACTTTTAGAAATAATATTTGTTCTCTTATTATATTAGCTTCTTTAAATAGTTAATCTCAGTTGGAAATAAATTTTCTACTTAGTTCTTCGACATAAAATATTTTACTATTCCTCAACTAACTCCCTTAACTCATATACCCTCTCCCTTTACTGCATTTTATTTTCTAACCAAGATATGGTTGTGCATCATTGACTTCACTTGGCCAAGCGCCATTTTGTATTTCATTTTATTTTGTTTGTCATTTAAACCGCATATTCCCTTCGACCAGCACACGTACCTACAAATAACATATATAAGGAGTCGCAGCACAATACTATATATTATTTATTTGCCCAAGCCACACACATTTGAACTATGAAATAACCACGGGAATGTTTGCCATTTCGTGGTCAATATACGACATGACCCACATGAAGCGATTGCTAGGATGTGGATGTGGATGTGGCAACGGAAGGCGAAGGATTGGTCAGGTGTGGTCGAGTTGTTTGGGCCATGTTTATTTATGTGACGGAGTGTGTGCTCTGTGTCTGACAGCAGCTCAAGGCTGTTCAATTAGTTGGGTGAAAGGACATGTATTCAAGGGGGGCCAATCGCAAGGACTCTTCCATTGTTTGGTCTTAACTTGACATCTCTTACGCTCACTCAACCTCACAGCGACATTTCAAACATCAATCACTCCCAATTAATTATTCAATTTGGTATTTTTCAGAACCCCAAGAAGAAAAAAAAAGCGCAACAGTTGATAACAAATAGAAGTCACAAAATTGCGGTTTCTTGTTCATTTTTTACGTTATTCCATTCACCCAAAAAAAAAGAAATTGACCAACATAGATACTGGGTCTCAGGCACAAGCACAAATCACAAAAGAGAAACAAATTCCGACTGTGTGTTTTGTAATATAAATCAATCATACGACATGTGTGACACATCAAGCGCAAAGCAAATAAACCCAAATATTTGTCTATGGCGAAGTTTTTGGTAAGAGTAAGGTAGTCTTTTGCATGGATACCATGTAACCAAAATCGGACTTGAAATAATACAAGTATGGATTCATTGTTATTTTTAAGAATATGAAAAATATACTACAGAAAACCTTTAAGAAATATATATTCTATGTGTTCAAATGTTTGTTTTTATTTATGTTTATCTTAAATAAATATAAAGAGTTGCTAAACTAACATTGTATATATAATATATATTATAATATTATGCGAAGCCTAAAATTGTACTATAATTTCTATCCTCTTTATGAAGTCTACTACTTTTTCCTGCAATATTGATACCGTGTAGAAGGGAAAACTATTTCTGAGATAAAAAGCCTTTTTGACTGTGTCGACTGACTGTCTCGCCGCCTGACAAACTGCAATGCGATTGCCAGCTCAGCAGATGCGTCCAGTGCAAACACACTCAAACACACATGCCACACCCGTTCTCCCCCTTCCCCCACCAAGCACACCACCCCCTCTTCCACCCATGCAAACCACTCAAGCCATTCTGTTTCGCTGCTCCGTTCTATTTGCAAGGAAAACATTTATGTAAAGTTTATATTATTAGAATGGCATACTAGAGAGCAATGCATTGTGTATGCCCTGTGTCTTTATAACTGTGGGTGTTTGTTTTATAACGACCAACGACATTTGCCAATATGTTTTAAAGAAAATAGACAGGAATGGGTTCGGAAGGGATAAAAAGCTGGAGATCGTTAGACGACGACGACGACGACTGAGTCTTTCAATTGGCGAGTGTTTTCTATGAAAGTCTCCCTTTGCGGCGATTGAATTGGCATTCCAGTTGCTACGGTGTCCTTTGCAGGACGAACAAACTCATCGGCATTTGCCAATTTGTGCATGTTGCAGTTAGTTTTTTACTTCTCCAATGTATCTCTTCTCTAGGCCCCTTTCTTTGATTGCTTTGGCAGAAGGTAAAGTGCTGACTTGAATATGCATGGGATTGCGGCCAATAAATTATAACTTGATTGCTCTGCAAATAACTTTGGCATTTTTCAGTGTGGAGTTGTGTGCTTGAAAAATAAACTTGGCAAAGTGTTTTATAAGAAATATTAGAAAGGATATTTGTAAAACAAAATAAAGCAATTATAAGCAATATTAAGTTATGTTGGAAAAGTTTTTGTTAGATAACGTTTTATTAAAACAGTTTTAATTACTAGAAGATTTTTTTTGGAATACTAAAAACTAGCCTGGGATTTAAATTTCCATAAATCAAACTTTTGCGTGTACACAAACATCCTATTTCCCCTCATTTTTCCGCTCCAGAGATCACAGTTTTTCCACCGCTGCAATCTCTATTCATCAGGTCCCATCAACATCCAGAAAATCTCTTTGGGGCTCATTTCCATTTACGTGTTATCCCGAAATCTCCATTCACACAGGCGAAGCCCAACGGAACTATCTACAAAATTATTACCATTCAGCCTTCCTGGCCGGATTTCCATAACAAACATCAACCTGGGATAGTTGTAGCCATTTTATTTGGTCCTATTTTATTTTTGTTTGGCCTGCGCTGGCCTGTCCATGGACTGGAAAATATATATTGATATGGCCGAAAACAGTGCTCTAGTTTACGGGATGCATAACCCAAAACTCCCCTTTTGGTAATGGTAACAAATCCCCGTTCGTTGGGGACTGGGGAAAAAAGCCAGGAGGACTAACGTTACCTGAGTTTGGTTTTTGGTTTGTTTTGGGCCTGGCCGTGCCAGCAAAATATGTGGCCAATTATAGCAAAAGCAGACGTTTTTATGTTACAGTCCCCCCAACCTGGCCTGTTCTTTTTGCTCTCCGGTTACAACTAATTTATGACTTCGGGCTAAGAGCTAGGATTTTCCGGTTTCTTTTTCGTTTTTCTCTTTTTTTCTTGTTATTTTTTTGTAACTTTCCTTCTAATCATTGGCCATAATTCAGTAGCCGTACTTTAGGCTATTCAATGTTGGTTTAATGGTTTTAAAATTGCCACAAACAAGAGTAATACGTATACGCATGGTAGGTCAGGTCAGTAGCAAGGATTTTAGGTTTTCCAAATTTAATTTTAAGCATTTTAGTGGATGTTGATTTAATGCTTGATAGAATGGCCCAAACCTAGAGTAGCTCATAAAGTGTACTTGACTTTAAACAAACACTATTTTTGAATGGATTTGTTGTGTACACAGTTCTGTCCCAAAATCCATTTTATTATGCAAAGTGTCATCGTTTATTGTTCCGCTCATGGAACTTTGTTTACCACTTGCCATGATTTTGTGGCGGCATCTCAAAAATAATTTTTGCTTTACAGCTCATCAAGAGATAGTTGAACAAGGCATTTATACGAATTTATCCAAGTCGAAAATGTTCTTCATTGCTTTCGGCAAGCTTAAAATTCAAATCTAATTCCTTACAATTTTCTGTTTTTTTTCCCCCACTCTTGGTCCTTTTACAAATATTTGCCTTCAATGTTGAATAAGAAGGAAATTGCGAGCGGCGAGAACAAGAAAAAATATTTTGACATTTTCCACGGTCCCTATTTTACTTTTTGCTCTTTTTCCTCTCCTTCAAAAACTGACATTGAGATTTTAGGATATTTTTTCTTTAATGAAATTGTATGCATGAATTGAACATTTCCATAAAACATGATGCTTAGCTTTTGATCTTATCAAATATTTTATTCAAACATTTATTAAAATTATTTAAATAATATTTTTAAAAGCTCACTTTAAATCATAACTTATATTGTTTCTCGGCCTGTCATAGACACTCGCACTTGGCTGGGATAAAATCATTTATCATTTGTCATCATTTTGGCTTTTGTTTTCTTGATGTTCTTTCGGGCCGTCTTTTCCGCCCCAAATGACACAGCCTGTCCTAAACAAATAACTTTTCGATGGCATTGACTAAAAAGTTATTCATTCATTTCAACCCAGACTTTCTGGCCCAACTCAACGCCACTCTGAGGCATAAATTAAGACTTACGTTTGATGAGGCCAGGCGGTTGCGAAAAAGGAAAGAAAGTCCAGGATAGCACTTCAGACCGACTTCAGACTAGAAAATGATACAGAAAAGGAAAATTTGTGTATGAGAAAAAGTTTGAGCATTATAAGGGCAGTTGGAGGAAAGTGGAGAATGGGAAAGACAGACTCAATTAGTTTTATTTCTGTGAAGAGGCAGACTTTCGACCCTCTGGAAAAATTCCCTTGCCAAATGTTTGTTTTCTATGGGCTATGCCAGGATTAACCTAGATATGTTTTGCTAGAAATTAACGCAAACATTTGCTGTTTAATCGTGCCTGCGCCAAAGTAGTTGGCACATCATTTTGTGTGAACAATTTGTTGCCTACTTTTGTGTGCTCTTGGCCAAAGTTTCTGAGCAGGAAAAAGTTTTTAAGGGAAAACTACAAAACTTTAAACGTGAAATCAACCTAACCAAAAATGGCGCAAAGTTCATGCCCAAAAAAAAAAGTCCATTGCAATCGATATAAAGTGAACTTTTGCTCTGATGTAGATTGGAATTGGTGTCGATGGAAGTCAAGTCCACAAAGAGACAAGACGTGACAGCAGAAATCGAAAGGCAAAAGCAAATCAAATACAAGAGTTGCAGTTTTCACTCTCTTTTCGCCATCGTCTGTCAATATCTAGGGAAAACTGTGCTCTGATGGCCGGATTTTTCACACCCAATAAGCTGCCAGGCGCTTAGAATTTAAATGCCAAACATAAACAACAACATCTGATACAAAGGAAATCTGCTTAAAAAGCAAGTCAGCATGTCACTCTGCCGAGTCGAATTTTTAATGTTCTACGAAATTACCAAATGTTAGGGTTTACTTTATCAAGCTTAAAAAAAAAGCAATCCTAGGATTTAAAATTACAAAAAAAATAAGCAAATTAAATAAAACAGGTTATTTCCGTTTAAGGCTCTTCGATGTAGCCCTTTGAAGCTTATGTAAAAAGTCTCCTAAGTCTATTTGGCTGACACATTTTATCCGCAGCATAAAGTGAAATCCTTTGGCCAAAGGTGTTACCCGCAACAAAAACGAAAGAGACAGTAAGAAAAGATCTAGAACCAAGAAAAAAAAAACAGTAATTCAGTGTTGTTGGTTTTGGCTTTCTTCCAAAAAAAAAGTTAAGCACTTTTTCTAACCACATATAAAACAAGGATTTAAATAAGTTATAATTATTATTTAAATAACCCATAATCGTTACAGCACTATCAAAAGTCTAAGCAAATTTATGGACTTACTTATTTTAAATTAACTTTATTTGTAGCTATCTGAAAACCTGACAGCACTGAGCACCCACTAACCCCAAACCCTCTTTTCCACTTTGGCGCATTGTTGACTTTGCCATCTTGGCCGCTGGTGTATCTGTATCTGTAGCTGTTTCTGTAGGTGTATGTGTGTCAAGTGGTCGGCCCCTTTCTCCGCTTTCTCCACCTCGTAGAGGTGGATGCCATCCATTCATTTGGATCTTCTTGCGGCAGGTCAGAGGCAAATCGTTGAAGTTGGCTCTGTGCGTGGTTAAGTCCTTGTCGATGGGCTTAAATAAACAGAGGAAGATGGCAAAGGATGGCACGATACAGATACACGAGGCAAAGTCTGAGATAGTTGGAAATGTGTCTTTTGAATATGATTTAATTACTGCTAATTGCTAGCTATACTAATTAGTTTGAAAGGCTTTGCCCCGCTCTATCAATCTTGCGTCTTCGTACTGCTTCTCTGATCAATAACAAGATATGTAATGTGAATACGTGATGAGCACCCATATGTGATTGGATTTAAATAGGGGGGCAACTAAGTTCCAAGTGCTTATTGACTGTCAAGGTAGTTTATACAGCTAATTAGCATTTTGAAACAATCTCAGATTAGTTTTGTAATGTAAACTAGTCATTTAGGTGAAGATACATACTGAAACTCGTTTGAAACTAGAAATAGCATTTAAATCTTTCGCATTAATTAACCACCTCTAATAAAGAAAAAAATAAGAACTTCTTATAACAAAACCTGGTTAAAAGTAAACCAACAGTTCCCAATCCCTTTTGAAAATCAATATCAACTGTATCCTTCCCCAAATTTGATATACAATTTAATGGCCATAAAAATCCTGTGATCCCCTTTGTAAATGGACCATAAATCATTTCGTTTTTCCAGATATTTCAACATGCACTTAGCGCATTAACATGCACATGAATGTGGGATAAAAAAACGTGAACCCAAAATCCAGAAAAGTAAAGCCAACAATGATGACAGGTGAAGACACGGAACGTAATCTAATAAATGTGACAGTGAGTTTATGTGGCAGAATGTGAAAAAACAATATATCACCATTAGGTTGAGCTGGCTTTCATTAACGGATTTAACGAAACTAAAACAGGATGTACGATGCTATATATATATATAAACACACACACGTATCCTGCTGACACTAATACACTACTGGTTGCATGCTTGTGGGTGTATTTGTTTCATGCACCTGTCATGGAAATATTTGCGCAAAATATTTTAAGCCGCATTTTGATAAAGGACTTGGCCCGAACAACTAGAATCAGTCCTGACAGCAGGGACCTCCACGCTACGAAAATATGACAGGGATTTGATATCGGTATATGTAGGTGGTGGATGGGTGGGTTAGTGGGTTTTGGTTATATGTGGTTATAGTTTCCCAGGATATTCCCTCTATATTTTTCCACCCATGTCATTGTATAAACAAATAACCGAAGCTCGACTAAACGGATTATAGAGCAAAGTGTTCACGGGTTGCCAATAGGAATTTCCAAAATTTTTGCGGTCTACTTTCGCGGGTTCGGTTGTGTTTTCGCTGAAAATTTTGGGCGGGAGCAGGTAATGCATGTGTAAATGCAAACTAATTGCAGTTTGTGGTTAAAATGGTTTAAAGGGTTATTAGATTACAACATGATGGCCATATCTATTATTAAAACTAATTAAATCTGCGAAATTATAAATGACTGATATCAAATGAAATCAATACAATCACTACGCCTGCGTGTCTTAAATTTAATAGTTTATAAGCGGCTAAACCTTTTGAATAAGCTTTCTTGGGCATTGAGTACTTAAACAAAGACTTCTTTTGTAGTTTTTAAAATAATATTTTAAGGAAATTGTAATTTTGCCTTTAATTTAATTTTAAACATTTTTACAATTACTTCTCATTTTTAAAAACATTTTTACTAATATTTTTTTCCATAAACGTAACATTCTCATCGTTAGCACACAAAATACTCGTCAATAAACAATATAAGCTCGGCAAATCCTCATTATTGTTAAGCTTCAAAAACAACCCCTAAAATCCGGTAAAAAGTTCTTTCAACTTTGACCTAATTCAAGCGAAAGTAAACGGCCCTCTGGCCAATCCTTACGTCCCGACACTGACCCATCGAATTGAGACCCGCAAATTTAAAACCACCAGAACCAACCTCAAGGGGTAAATGCGCAATTGACAAGCAAATTGACAATTCACTTAATTCCGGGCGACAACAAAAGTGGAGAATTATTCTTAAGCATTAAACCCGACTGCAGTTGACAGACGGGGGTTCGGAAATTCAAAAATTGCACCCACCAAATTCCCCTGAGAAGAGGATTAAAGGGTTGTTCCACTTCCTTTTCTCATGAATAATGCAAACCGCAAAAGCCAAAAACAAGCAAAAACAATTAAGTGGGCTGTCCCCGGGCGGTTGTTTGTTGTTTTTGTTCTCCGATTTTTTTTACGTATGGCAATAATTATATGATTGACAAGCGATTGAGTTTTTGGCCCCAAAGCCTGCAAGCCAATTTAATATCAAGTGATGGCACCACGCCCCAAAAATATAATGCAATCCAAGTACCGAGTTAGGTGGGTCAAATGTCAGTGGTTTGCAGTTCGGTGGGATGGGTGGGTTGGTGAATGGGTGGATGGGTGGGTGGATGGATGGGTGGGTGGTGTCTGTCATGTGGCGGGAGTGTCTGTTGCCTTTGGTAATTACGCTCACACATATCCACATGCATGCTAATTTCAACTGGCCCCGGAATCCGTCACAAAACCCGATTTCTGGTCGAGTCTACAATGCCGAATGAGATTTTTGTGCAATGCCCTGTGTTGTCTATCAAATCCAACACACATGGAGAATAAAAAAGGGAAAGAATTTGAACCTTTACCTATAAATAAAAATATACTTTTCAAAACCATTTGGATAAAACATCTTAATTAACATAACGATTGAAAAGGTAAAAAGTAGTCCTAATTCTAATCCTTTAATTAAAATATTTCAATATATATGATTTTAACGTTGGAAAATTCTTATAAATAATAGTAATTATCAAAACCCACAAATATAGTTTATAATAAAAATGTTAAAACATTTTTCTCTGCACTTTTAGGGGACAGAGTTTAAAGTTGCCGGTAGAACTGCATTGAAATTGGTATGGCACGCATTATTTTTCATATGCCTGCCTGCCTGTGGGATAAATCTGTGGTTGGATTTGGTCTTCCTCTCATTTCTGGCTTTTATTTTTGGCTTTTCCCCGTTGGTTTCATCTGTTTGCGGCTTTTATGCGAAATTGCCTTTTCTGACTGTTTGAGGGCGACACAGAAGTTGTGTTGCCTGGGTTTTTTGGTTTGTAAGTGGGGAGAAAATGAACCACAATTATGATTTATTTTTGCGGCAAACTAAAAGTTTTTCTTAGATTATCATAATTAAAGGTTTTAATTGATTAATATTTATATTTTTTATAGTGAGGAAAATCAATTAGTTTATGATAATTGTCAAGCGCTGTTGAACTAACAAGGCACTTCACTGTGGATTATTCAAAATGGATGGGTATTAATTATTATTTAACATGACATTTCCAAAATGGGCATAAAATTGAATACACATTGATACCAGCATTTCTCTTTTCGTTATTGACATAAAAGCCATATTAACACCTAACTACAGTATTCTTTTATTTGCATTTCTCCTTAAAACTGCTGAGACGACCTCAATTTCCCAGTGTTTAGTATGCAAAACCATTTGCCAACAATTAAACTTCAACGAGTTTATCAAATTTTTGACTC